CCATCTCCTCCTCCAAACCGGACTCCAATGGGTCCACGACACTTCTGTACTTCTTAGAGTAAAATATACTTTTTATGCTGGGGGGGGGGGGAAGCTGAACCCTTGGCTAGGAACTGCCACTTGTAGACAGATTCAAGTGCTTCTTGTGTTATCTTGCTGCTTGTGGGATTGTGGAAGTGGAATAGCAGGACGTTGGGGGCTGGGGTTATTCTGTGGTCAGAGAAGACACCTGTGGATCTATGTCAAATCAGTGTGGAAAATGTAAGTTATTTCTATTTGTCTTTTATCTATGAAAATAAAAACGGAATTGGTTTTCACTTAGACGGCTTTAAAATTTAAGAGTCCCTAGTTTTTTTTTTAAGTGAAGGTTTCCATTCTGAGATTGAACACACCAGATTCACATAAGGCAACAAAAATAGAAGTGTGACATTGGTCTGGTGGGTCTTCGCTTACGCAGTGTGGCATCCGGTTTTTTATTTTGTTGGTGGGAAGGTGGAATTGAAAATTACAGACATTATGAAATGTATCCTGGTTAATTTCAGCTGCTGCTGTTGCTTTGGGTCAAATTCTGAAAAGACTTGGAACATGTAAATTGTGTGTCATTAACAGTAAGTCATCTGCAGTGTTTCTAAATCTTACCCACTTAGGAAATTTTAAAGGGTGTACTTCAAAGGAGTTATTTTTTTTTTTTAAATGGCCTGATCCTTTTCAGCCTCTCCAGATCTGTAGCTGAGTAGAATGGGATTAACATGCTTCCTGTGGCCTCTACCGCTATCTTTAGGGCTAGTCCCTTCTACCAACAACTGATTAATGAAGAAAAACAAATTTAATAGTGTTTTAAAAAATGCACATTAACACAATGACAAAAAATAATAATACACAAGTCTGTTTTAGACAATATTTTCAAGAGCAATCCTTTCTTCAGACATCTCAACAAAAAAAAAGTATTAACTGAACATTTGTGCTCCCAGAAACATTTTTTGAGTATAAAAGTATTAACAAAAAAGCAAAGGAAATTGGTCAGTTGCCTACAGTTTTAATCTGTGGTGGCTGGCTAACCAGAAATGCTTTCCTTTATACTGTGGAATATCTGCACAAGACCTGTAGTGGTTTACAATAGCCCTGTCCAGCTTTGTACCATTTATGCAGACAAGGTGTAAGGCGCCTAAGGGCACCTTTAAGCACAAAGGCTGAATTTCAGAAACTGTGCTAAAGGGATTTTTAGAAACTGCCTTTTTATCACAACAGTGCACTACAGAACTCTGGTGCATTCCTCTTCTTCCTCCACCACCACCACCCTCAATAAGATAAAGATAAATCATTCCCAGCTCTAGGGGGCGGTGCTCATCTCCGTTTCAAAGCTGAAGAGCCAGCACTGTCTGAAGACCCCCTCCGTGGTCATGTGGCTGGCATAACGCAGAAGGCGCACAGAACGCTGTTCCTTTCCCACCATAGGTGGTTCCTATTTTTCTACTTGCATTTTTTATGTGCTTTAGACCTGCTAGGTTAGCAGAAGCTGGGACAAGTCACGGGAGCTCACTCCATTACATGGCGCCAGGGATTCGAACTGCTGACCTTTCTGATCGACAAGTCTTAGCATTGAGCTACCGCATCCCCCTCCCCCAATACACATCAGTCTTTAGGGCTTCGGAGACGTTAACTTTGATATGTGATTTAGTACAAACCTGCAGAGGCGCTATACTTTCTGGAGGAGAATCTCGATTGCAAAAGCCGGGTGAGCGAAGAGGGTGTGGCTCCCAAAGCTGGTTTCTATTCCAAATGAGCCTTAAAATCAATTTAATTTTTGTTTTCTGTATACAGGACACACTTATATTACATATATAAAATAAATAGATGGTTACAG